CGCACCTTTATCTATCAACGCTCGGAATGTACGGCCATTCACCTGCAATTGTATATAGACACGGTTGTCGGAGGACAGCAGTGGGTCTTTTATTGCCATCACTGTCTTCAATGGATGCGTGAACGTAAATGCTACATCATCATCGGACACCCTGAGGTCTCAATGTTGCTCTGTTATCGGGGTCCATTGGGGCTGCGATGTGTCCGTTTGTGTATATACGGCCTGCTCAAAGTCATTGGTTAGGATGGAGTGTATATGTAACTCTGTGGCCGACTGGCTATCGTATCCCGGACCCTCCTCCTGTGTGAGCACATTAACCTGCGGTGTCGTCGTAGTTGAGGTCGACTGTCGGCTTGGGTATTGTGATGGTTGGTGCACGAACCCCTGTGGTGGCGTAGATCGCTGTCCCATAGTCACCTCTCTCTGCTGCTGACTAGTGTCTGACGTCCGTGTCCTCACGTCCTGCCCTCCATGTTGGGTCGCTCGGTAATGCTGGCAACGCGGTATATATCGTAACCCTGGAGGTGCTTGTGCGCGGCAACCGTTGCACGTCGTTGGGTTAGTTGTTGCCATTGATGCTGCTGACGCTGGACTATGTGCGAGCTAGGTCTACTATTCGTCGTCTCCCCCCGGGTTGAGTCCCCATTGTGACCTCGACGATTGACTAAACGTTGAGTCGAACGAATCTGGGCCTCCTGGATTTCCGGACTGAGCAGCTGTAGTAATTCATGAGTCTCCATGAGTTGCCATTTTGGATGTAACTCCGGGATCCTAAGGTGTTCTCCTACAATTGAACTATGCAGTGGTTGAGCAAATTTTGCTTAAAATCTGCATCGGTCTGACAACGCTCGTATGCCCGACAATGATTTTCCAAGGTATGTCATCTGTTCCATCACTGGAACATTACTAAGTTTCTGGTGTCCCGTTGCTAATTTGCGAAAGTCTCGTGTGAACAGATTTGTGTTATTTGGAGTTCTGGTGTCCATGCAACTAAACGTTGGTGATTAGATTTTATATAATCAAGTGTAGATTGTTCGGCTCTAAAGTGACTTAACACCTTATAAAACCAGCGAAGACTCCATGCTTCGTCGAGAACCGAAATCTGCGCATTCTCAAGGGCTTCTCGCAATGCCCCTTTAGTGTCGCGCTCCATAATGTTGCTGAGGTTATACCGGTTCGAGGCCCACTCCGGCTAACTACGTGGTTCCCGTGGTTCCTGTTTTTTCACCGGTCGTGAGTCATGGGTTGCTCCTAATGTCCCGAGTACACCTCTTAGTGCCTCCGCTCGTGGCAAGTTGTTGGCTTCCACTGCACTACATAATTCCTCCGACAATTTGAGCATACGCGCGTGCAAGGCTTGGCGGCCCGCCGCTATGCTGTCTGGTGTAGGCCTGCTGAGCCAAGCGTCGACGCTTCTCCGATGACGTGGCTTGACTCGACGGTGTGCGTTCAAGCAGCCTGCGTGACGGTAGACTGTCATTCATAGCTTCTCGTACGAATTGTTGGCTCTGACGTTGTGCTTGTAAGGACGTGTCCATGTTGTCACGTCGATTATCCAGTGTCTCCCTCCCGTGAGGGTTCTGTGTAGCTCTACGTTGTTCCTTTGCAATTTTTTGACAAGATATCGTGTCCTGTTGTGTATCGCCTTCGTCCTGATCCGACGATGTGTACCCTAACCCATGACGGGCATCGCCGGCTCCTCTAATGCGGAACTCGATGTTGTCCGGTGATGAAGGTGTGTTCCCTCGTCGCAGTCGACGCAAACGCCGTTCATAATTCTCTAATAGCGATTGCTGTCGCCGAAGTAGGCTCGTCATTTGCTCTGGTGTGTCATCGTCTCTACCTCGGCTCTGTCGTCTCTCTTTGGTATGAGAACGAGGGTGCTTACTTGTCGTGATGCCTCTCGAGGAGTTGTCCCCTCCTGGTAGTGAGCCTGCGACGTCGAATGTGGTGCTCTCATTAGTTAGGGAGTACGTCACTCGGAGTGGTTATTCGCCCGTCGTGTTGTTGTTGTGCTGTTAGTGTCCGCTGGAGTATTGTTTGGTTGGTTCGACGTTCCGACTCTAAGTCCTCCGACACTTCTCCATCCGTATCTACTCGATCCTGAGTACGTCGTCGGAAACCTCGTTGATGGATGTCATCCCGTTCACGTTGTTCTGGGGATAGCTGTTGCTGCCGACGACTCTGTCTAAAGTTAGCCATGGTTGAAGTAAACTTCTGTTTGTCTATTGATAGCAATGTCCCGTTATCTTTGCCTCTCATCCGCCTTAAGTAGTCCACTGCTTGTCATGTCATCGCTTTTTCGAATAACCTGAAGCCCCGTTGACGGTACATACATCGTCTACGTCTTGCTCTATTTCGTAGTCTTGACGCATCAGCGTTGTCCCTGCATAGGCAATCGTGTCTTAAGCTAATCCCGGGTCTCATTGTGGTTGCACTTTTACTCTTCCAACTAACCCCTGCTCTTGGCTCATGTGCCACTGCTCTCTCGGTAACTCCTTGCTCCCAACATTCGTCTTCCATCGCATCTAAGCACATGTTCTTTACTCCTTTCAAAGCTCATCTAATCCCCCAACGATTGTCGCTTCTAACCTCTCGTAGCTAATCAGTTTGTCCGCCAATATCACCCGTACGCAAGCACTTGTCTCTTCTAACTCGCTTGGACGGCACACACCCACATTGAACGCACACACACATTGCCATTGCTTCGTGTTCACGTACACATTGATGTCACTTGCTTGCATGTTCATCACTTCTGGTACTAACTTATTTCACACTATTGTACTCTATATTGGCGTATTTGCTTACTGTGTGTGCGACTTACTTCCTGGTTGTTTAACACTTACTGCAATGCATATCTCTCCGTGTTACTGTCTTTGTATGAATATCTGTTACAGTGAATGCTTACCCATATCATACTGCCATTCCGATTATGTCTGGCCACTATTTCTTATTTTACCAGGTTACTTGAGTGCTATACATGGCGTATCTTACATATATATATCTCGATTTGACGTTTTCTTACGTACTTGATTGACGTGTACGTCCACATTCCTTGTTGTCTTGGTGAGCTTCCAACTTATACACCTACCTTCGTGATCCCTTATCTGTGTTCCACTGCGTCTTCTGTAATCTGCCATCCTTCTTCCTTGTCCTCTTCAACCTTCCTGGTGTGGCTCGGCTCTGGCGAAGGTGTTGGTGCCCATAACGGTGTGGATATTTCTTGATGTGGTGTGGTTCGGAATACTCTTTGGTTTTGTTCTAACATATCACTTCCTCCGGTTCGGTTGGCTACCGTAACATCTTCGGTGTCGATACATAGTACCCTTTGTCTGTTTATAACTCCGTCGCTAATCTCTATCCGCTATATTCTCTCATTCATGCGGTTTACTTGTTGACGAGTGTGCGTCCGGAGTCTACGATTGTGTCGTCCCATGCGTCTGGCTTGTCTCTGGATTTCTGAGGTTTCTCTATTCGTCTCCGCCTCAGACGCACTACTGCTGCTTGGTAGAAGTGCTGGCATGCTATCATTAGTATCACTACTAATAAAGCCACTACCCGTGTCATCTACTAACGGTTGTTCTATGTTGACGACCGTCATTTCCGTTTCTGATGTCTGAGACATCTCTCTCTTCTTTGTGTTGTGTACAAAAATTTATACTTTTACACGGGATCCTATAGTCCCTACTAACTTCGTCCCCTATTCAGGAATAGTTCAATTAATGTACAACATCTAAGTCAGTTAAAAATCTAGTAAGTAGTCGAGGATAACTGTATCTCGAAATTACCACTTGCACACACTATTTGTACCTGTCTCACGCAATCACAACTTCCTACCTGCTCTCACACGTGACTACTTATCTGTGGTTCCTGGTTGATTCCCTGATCTCGTTGTCTGATCGTCCTGGGACCTTCCTTGTTGCTCCATATGACTTAATGTCTAATTATCTTGTAATGTTTGTAAAATAATTTAATCTATCGTTACTGCTTCGTATCGTAGTACTAAGGGAGTCGGCACTAACCATGTGTACCCTCCATTTCGTCTACTGTAGTTCCTAATTACCACTTGCACACGCTATTTGTACCTGTCTCACGCAATCACAACTTCCTACCTGCTCTCACAACACGTGACTACTTATCTGTGGTTCCTGGTTGATTCCCTGATTTCGTTGTCTGATCGTCCTGGGACCTTCCTTGTTGCTCATGGGTTGATGTAGTGCTTGCTTTTGATAGTTCCTTCTCGGTTTCACACGACTCACTAGATTCTAACTTCGTTCTTGTCGTCCACACCTTGTTAGTACGGCGACCAGTTAGCCTAAATCTTTCAAGATGTTGAGCCATTTCACGTCTGTTGATTCTAAATCTCCTTCCGTCGACTTCTTCAATCGTAGGTTGTTCTCCACGGTCATTCCCTTGGTTCTCCTGTCCCCAGTCTTCTTTTGCCTCACTGCTGCTGGTCGACATTAATGGCGGCATCGTATCACTAGCCTCACTACTCGAGAACCCACTATCTCCTTCTTCGTCCGGAAAATTTCGGAAGATCTCATCAATTCAATGCGACATTCTTTGTTCTTACTATTTTTAACTTGTCCTTATAACAATTTATATATATATTCTAGCTACCGGCTAATTCTTATTCTGTAGTTTTCCTTATAATTACTAATAAACCAACAACTTCCTAAAGTAAGTTAAAAATGTAGCATGTAAACGCTGGATAACTGTATCTCTCCGCAGAGAGGGAGACGTTGTTCATTTATTAGTAATTGTAATATTAGAGACTCTAAAAGTGAGTCATAAGTCATGTGCTGTAATAGTCAGCAAAAACCAAGTTTATCAGATTATTCTGATAAACTGTAAAAACTATAATAACTAAAATAAATAACCAAAACTTAAGTACTTGTATTCTGACCACAACCGTCGCCAGGGAAGTATGCATCGTGATGTGAATTTTCCACATCAGAATAGCTATACCCAAACTCTCCTCGATCATTTTATTACATTCGGAATGATTTTTTTGGCGTGCTTTTTAGTACGGTGTCTTGCTTCCTTCTGACGCAGGCTGATCTACTAGTCCTGCTGTATTCTGTGGTGTGGCACGACTAAACATAACCTTTCTATGTCGCATGTCTGCCACGGAGAAGCCTTGGAGGCCAGAATATAACTAAATGTCTTTTAGCACTGAATATGTATTAAATGATGCCTACGCATGGACTTGTGATATCTCCAACTATCACTTGACATCGTATTTTCTGAAGCGACAGATCTATGAAGACGTCTTAGACTCATAGTTGAGATGTATATCAGAAATAGGCATCATATATATTTCGAATCTCAACCACGGCTTCTCAAGTTTCCTTTACACAAATACTATATGGAGCAAGTTTCAACAATACAATGGCTATGATCAATACAGCCAAGCATCAAATGAGCTAATCATGAAGCATAGTAAACAATTACTATTTATATGATGTGTATCATTCCTTTCGCCGACGAGCTAGCAGTCCTGATTTAGGTACACTAGTAGTCGCAAGCAACATCAAAGCTGACACCCTATAACCACGTTGCCTAACACCCTATAATCACGTTGCCTTACACCATATGATCACGTTGCCTTACACCCTATAATCACGTTGCCTAACACCCTAGAATCACGTTGCCTAACACCCTATAATCACGTTGCCTAACACCCTATAATCACGTTGCCTAACACCCTATAATCACAATGCCTAACACCCTATGATCACGTTGCCTAACACCCTATAATAACGTTGTCTAACACCCTATAATCATGTTGCCTAACACCCTATAATCACGTTGCCTAACACTTAACACTCACAGTCAGCGTTAAATTTGTGGACATATATCTACAGCACTATTCGACATCTTAAAGGCTCGATATCGACAACATGATTGCACGGTGACTTTTTTTAATGATAAATTTTAAACCTACCATACTAGGCAGCAGTTAATCTTCTTCGCTTTATAAATCTCGTGTACACAATGGAGCCATTGAAAGGAAAGTTGAAGCAAAGTTGCTCTACTCAAATTCCATGGCATTTACTTTGGATTTTGCGTGTAGAAAATAGCGCGTTCCTGACTTTAATAGTTGAAATATGTTTGCGTATCTAAATTCTTAGATGATACGGAATACGCACAAAATATAGCAAAAATATAGAGCTGAACAAAACTACGTTGTTCTGAGAATCAGAAGACACTATAGTATGTATACTTTAGAGAAGAGTGTCTCAATAGGAAGGAAATTATTCAAGTATTCAAATTTGATTCGATACGAGAGTCACAAATGGTTTCAACAATCTTGCGGAATTCTACCTACTATGTAAGTTGAATTCAAGAGATTGCATTTAGTTGAACAACAGGGTGACAATATTGACAGGATAACTATATGTCATGAGATTTTATAATACTTATTACCGACTCGTCCGATGCTCGTGCTGTTTTCAGTATATTATCTAATGCTTCTCTGTACTGAGTCATGACTCGATTTCCTGGATGGTTATAAAGCGCTCAATTGGCGGTGTCGGTGACAGCCGAAGCTGCCACAACACGTGTCGCATATAATAGCAGCAGCCTAATTTAGTACATCGACCATACCGATATCATATCGATTCATATAATTTCAATTTTAAATCACATAAGTTCTATTTGTGTTCTCAGTGCATCTAAAAAGGTGACTTAAACAACGCACATAAAGGACAAACTCTGCAGACAGCTGTGCGTTCACTAGTATCTGTCTGCTTTTATCATAGGTCGCCGTATTTGCAATGCGCCCCTCGTACGAAGCTTAGAAATGTACTCACAAGTTAAGTAGAATAAAGTAGCATAACGAGTAGACCTACATTGAAAGATAAATAATATTCGGCCGTCAACTTGGCTACCATTGAGCATGTAGGCTGATCAAATAGCAAATAAGCAAACATGATTGCATTAAAAAAACAAACTATCAGAAAGGTTCTTTTCTCCATCTGGGTATATTTGTCCAAATAAATACAATTTGTATAGAGATGATAGGCAAAAAATCAATCATGTACACCTCAACGATCTTCATCCATGCAGATAAATTGAAGATCTAACAATAGTATTTGTCGGTATCTCCAAATATGTATACAATGATAAACCCTCGAATAGTTTTCCTTCGCGTATGGCCGTAGCAAAACAGATGTATACTAGGCTATCGTATTATATTTGTGTGCTAAGAACGAAAACTACTCCTAGAAAAACGAACGTGACCATGTTACCAAAAAATTATGAATTAAGCTTTCATATAATATTCGCCGAAACTCTTATATCCCTATCTGGTGTTCGCTCATCGACAAAAATACTATTCGTTGGCGTGCACACTTTGATAAGTGTTATTATCACTTAAACGATCTATTCCCACTGCACGCAACATTCAATAGCTAGACTCTTATAGCTTTTAAATTATGCTGTGCTATTTCTTGTTTTAATCTAACAAGTAGTTGCCCAGCAGTGCGTCTGAAAAGTCTGATATCTAGCATTACATTCACACAGCGTATCGCTCTTAGCGTAATTTCCACAAGTGGTTGGTCGTGGCCAGACAAGGCCCAACACAAACTCTACATAGTCGACCGTGTCGATACACGATTCTCCCGCCATTAGTGATGCTAGTGCATTCGCCCTTATGGCGAGTAAGTTTCTATTTATATCGTGATCCATACATGAAGCTATTCTATGATCGATATTTCCCGCACTTGGCGAGCGTATCGAAAATAAACACTTCGAGCACATCTTGATTGTCAGTTTATTTATTGGTCCCTAAAACGAACACTAGGAATTCATTGTCGTAGGGATAAAACAATAACCGTCATAGTTTCATTCAAATAGCATCCATACTCTCGTTGATTCGATTATTGTCGTTGATATGAGAGGGAAAAAAGCGATGAAAGAATTTTTGTCTGAGATGTGTTCTTATCACCAGCGCCGAATATTCCAATAGTAATCAATGTCGTTCACATGATAGCATGTGGAACATACAGCAATTTCCGTTGTTATTGAAAATTGATCTCTCGGCAAAGTATCCACGTTTGACATTTGCGCGTTTATACTTTGACCATACCAAGATTCATATTTCATATTTTGCATGGCATAATTTATATTTCTTTAAATCTTGCGTGGCATAATTCATACTTCTTCAAATCTTGCGTGGCATGTACTGAACTGGGTGCTCTCAATTTTAGCAAGCTTCTCTATGATTCTTCGTTTGTACAAGCACTGATATATGCACCATGATTTTCACCATTATATATATAACCTGTTATCCGCCAATGTGAACAACTCATGCCGTGTGTTACTTTTACGATCCTCATCCATATTCTGCAAGGGACTTGTATGAATTGCATTAGGTCGGTAGTATACCATTTTTATAGTAATCGACATGTGCATGGATCTATCCAAGGAGCGACTTTTATTCTTTTTCAGATGGACAATAAACATTGTCCATAGGTAGTGCAGAGATTACATAAGCTCCTCCAGTGATTTTTTAATAGACAATTTATTCACTAAAATTCAATACTTGCGCACACACGACACTAGTAATTCTTTTGTATTCTTAAGACACTTGTATTCTTGAATATAGAACATCGTATATATGGTTGCTCAAGTAAATGCATGTAGAAGAGAGAGTTTAGACCACTATATCCGCCGTACCGCAGGAATCTGGAGCATAAATTGCGACACCCAGTAAACGAGCTCGCTATTCTATTATCAAACCATATAAATCACACAACGGTGAACAAAGAGAGAAGTTGACATGATGCCGCAAAAGGTACTCGTTACTGCATTAAACAATGACATACTGAGTGCTGCCGTTTGAGACAGTGTCTTTTGTATCACTTTTCCTACATATAACACATCATCAGTTGAGAAACAACTTGATAGCAACTGCTTCCAACAGTGACCGTACGTGATTTTGGGACTACACCAACGAACCTCTGATACCTATGATCTAAGTAGACCACTACAGCATCACGGCATTGAGAACTTGAGATAAATTTAAACTTCCCTCGACTGCGTGCCATAATTTCTTATCAGTCTGAAGCTCTACAAGGTATGGCGAATGATGTGTGGGGCTGTATCATTGTTGGGCGCTTCTTAAAAATCAGTGCCCATCATATTCCAAACAATAAGATATTTTGTAAAAAATTCTGCACGCGGACTCGCTAAAAGTATACTTTATTTTTCATCTCGTCTCTGATGATTGTCTGCCTTAAAAGAAATGTATGATACGAACTTCAATTTCATTTTAGTCAGAAGACATTGCACGGTTCGTATACACTTTATAAAGTAACATAAGTACAAATATGAATTGAAAGGCCGAGCGACGTTATTGTTATTCGAGTGGGTTCAATTCAATTGCAATACACCAGCCAGGTATTTGGATTCGGCATGTTTTTGATCTGGTTTGCTATATTTTAGAAGTTAACGAAGTATATAAAATTAATATTAAAATGTGCCTATGAGTGTACTAGCTCAGAGCAACGCTAGTATAATTAACTACAACACTATAATGTCTGCATCAGTGATAACAATCTTTCCATTCTCATCTGGCGGTGGTATGTTTGGAGAATTGGGGTACATGGATGCGCCAGAAGCATCACTAAGAATTGACGGTTGCGCATATCCGCCCGCAGCCAAGCTTGAGTTGTCAAAGGTACCACTGTAAGGGTATTGACCACAAAGAGCTCCCATGAGACTAAACTGATCGTGGCCACCGTTAAGAGGGTTCCCATATTGATCGTAACCGCCGCCGTTCATAGGGTTCCCAAACTGGTCGTATTGACCGTCGTAATATTGGTCATAGTTATTGTACTGGTCATTGTTTCTATCGATACTTCCCATTTTGTTCCTGCCGGATCGTTTCTCTGGCGATGCCGATGTACTAGTCATCTGTGTTAAGGAACGCCAGAAAGCAAGCATAAGTTATTTTCGAAGTCACACAGGCCGTGCATTTTATAATTTTATATATTGTACTAGAAAACATAACTGACCAGATACATTTTTCCGAAACATTTTTCAGGTGTAGAATTAGTGAAGGTCATATCGAGACAATAATTGTTGTAAAAATAATAACAATCGGGATGGTGCAAGGATGAGATAAAATGCTAAGGTCGAAATGAATGCTACTAACGAGACTATTCCTCGATATGAACAGGCGAGAAACGCGTATGTGCAAGACTCAGTACAGAGACGAGGGCTCGCTTTGACGCAGTAAAGCAAGAATAAACGACTGGCCCATGGGGCCCTCGTGTGCGAACGCATACCAGTGTTTCGAAATACTGAAATTATTTTGACCAGAACGATTTGAAGATCAGATTAAAACTGTAGATCCGCTGCAACTACAACTACAGATATCAGGATATGCTCGCCATTGCCACAAGTTTAAAAGAACCTTTGAGGTTGTATCTGATGCAATGATCAAGTATGGCCTCTTGTTAAGATATAATTGAAGCGAACTGCGGCAGCAACGCATAAAAAATGATTTGGTAGCCGACATACCATTGTTGCATTGCTCTGCATATCGTACTGGAAGCACAAAAACCGTTCGCAAGTAGAGAAGCGATGTCGTGACGACAGGGGTATTTAGTGAATAATTTCAACAGCACGGATATTGCACAGCAATATGTCGTAAATGAAAATAAAACAAGAGATGAGCAGATGAGCATGAAAGGAAAAACTTGGTATCAAACCATATTGAGTGAAAAGCATTTCACTATCCTCGATTCGAGACTCGCTCATAGCCTGAATAGCAATGATTGACTGATGGCAGTGGGTACATGGCATATATACAGGTATGGCTAGCTAAAAGTCTACAGTGTGTGATGACGTCACCGAAATTCCAGTTGTATATATGACTATATGCATTCATACTTGCATGCATACACTACATACATGCATACATGCATACATACAGGTATATATATATATTTATATATATCTCACTAAAAGATATACATAACATACATACATTCATACACACACACACACACACACACACACACACACACACACACACATATATATATATATATATATTATTATATAGTAATACTACTAACTAAGAAAACGTAACTTAAACTTA